ATAGATAGATAGATAGATAGATAGATAGATAGATAGATAGATAGATATCGATCGATCTCATGGAGGAAATTCAAGGCATCTAGTAGCATGTTCTAATTATACAGATAAAAATAAAAAAGCTTAACATAATGGTCAAATTCCTTTATATTATCTGATGTTAGATGATTTCTCTAACGTTTTGAGACAAAGCTCTTCAAACCTTAAAACTTTTGCTTTCCAAGGGTTATTTTATTTACCTTAATTAGAAAGTACTTTGTAAATTATTTAGTTGTAGTACATTAAACACTTGTGAAACAGTAGGATTCAGTCATAACTTTTATAGACACTAGACATAATATAGCAGAAAATGTTGCCACCTGGAATTAGTTTATCCCTAAGATGTTCTACTAGATACTTGTTTCATATTCAACTGATAAAAACAAAACAAAACAAAAACAATGCGCTTCAACTTCATTTCAACTTAATTTCTACAAAAATACAATTAATGTATTTTTTTTACATAACACAACAGTTTCAATAATTTACACAACTAGCAACAATACATTACGGTGTATAAAGTTTATGTAAACATTCAGATGAATTTCTAGAGTTTACGGGTAAAATAAAGATTTTAGTTTTAAATGACAAATAAGTGAAATGATTTGAAGGAAAGGCTATTTGATTATAGGAAAAAAAATGAAAATCACATTTTATCACTAATGAAATTATGAAATGTGCCTTATTTAGGCAACATGTTAAATGCAAAGCGATATATGTAGCATGTCTGAAAAATTATAGCTATTTTTAATAATAATTAAGTACTTGAGTTATGACTGTGGATCGCTTTCATAAAATTAACGTAACTTAACTTTTAGCCACGTCTCAAATAACAAGACTCCTGCTTCAGGATGAACACGTTTTGATTTCAGAGAGTCTTCTTGTTCTGTCTCAGATCATTCGGGACATCCAGCTGATCGGTTTGGTGCTGCTGCTCATCCTTGTGGACATCCTGGTCCTCACAGCCTGGAACCTCTCAGACCCCATTGGATGTTCTCGATCTGTCGCAGCTGTTGTCAAGGTAAAGAACTGAACAAGACGGTTTCAAAAAGTCTTCAATTGCATAAAACTCATTACTCAACCAGCGTTGGATTTTACTGCTTTTTGCTGGTAAATATAGTCATTGACATGAGACTGCAAAAAAGGCTTATTTTATGATAGAAAAATGACAAGATAATATTTTTGAACTAAAAACATGAAGTGTTTTTGGCGATAAAATTAATCAAATATCAATTCTTGAGTAATATTTTGGTTTCCATTGATTTAGGTGGTGGAGAGAGAAGTTTCCTACTCTCTGTCTCAGCTGGACTCTTGTTCCTCTGAGCATTCAAGTATTTGGCTCATCATGATTGCTGCACAGAAAGTAAGTAACTGCTCAGTTTCTTTAAATTACAGCCATTGCCTTTAAATTCTTTGCTGCCACAATGACATTTTATTTATTCACATTAAATATTTAAGCTTTCTGGTATTGCAAACATATTTTATTATAGCATCATAAACAAAACTTGGAGTGTGTCTCTTCAAAGACAAACACAATTCTTCAATTTGCATTATTTAAATAAGGTTATGCTTTTAAAGATGCATGAAATGACTGCATGTAAACTTTTTTCAGTTCAAGATGAAAGGAAATTGGAAACCAGCAGTCAAAATCTAGTTTTTCATACTGTTTTAAACCATAGCCGTTTTTATGTCTTTTGATAAAAAGAAAGTTAAATAAATATTTAAATGAATACTTAAAGTGCGCTTTTGAAATTTGTTTCTATTAATCTGAAAGAGAAAATCTTACAAAAGCTAAAAAAAATTAAAAAAAATCTAAATACAGTAAATAAAAAATCCTTTTGTTGCTTTTTGTACAATCACAATAGTTTACATCATTATTTTAATAGCCAATTACACAACATAGTTTATAATAACCGACACAACAAAATGAATCTTACCACATTAGTTTCACTGATGTTTGTCCTTTTCTTACATTTTTCCACACCTCTTCATCCAGGGTTGTCTTCTCCTCTACGGCACTTATCTGGCTGGACTGACCAGCAACGTCAGCCATCCTCCAGTTAACCAGTCTCCCACCATCATTACAGCTGTCATCCTAGCAACCGTCTCCTCCACTGTGGCCATCCCTGTGTCCATCTTCCTGCAAGCCTGGCCCAACCTGGTCTACAGCACCATAGCTGGAGCCATCTTCATTTGCACACTAGCCACCAACTGCATGCTGTTTGTGCCGCAGGTTGGAAACAAACAACAACAGACACAAAGCATTATTGTCAAGATAATGTTTCACACACGTGTGCTTAATGTAGAAAGCATGGCATGACATACGTGTAGGACTGAGAGTAGCAACTCTAAATGTGGGGACAATTACAGGCAAAGGTAGAGAGCTGGCTGACATGATGCAGAGAAGGAAGGTAGATGTTTTATGTGTCCAAGAGACCAAGTGGAAGGGCTGTGAGGCTCGCAGCATTGGAGCAGGGTTTAAACTGGTTTACTATGGAGTGGATAGAAAGAGAAATGAAGTAGGGGTGGCCCTGAAAAACAGTTTGCAAGAAATGTAGAGGCGATATAGTGATGTGTCTGAAGGTAGGTGTAGAAAGTCTCATGTTGAATGTTGTCATTTGTTATGCTTCTCAGGTTGGGTGTGATGTGGAGGAGAAAGATACATTTAGGAAGAATCAGGATGAAGTGATAGAGAGTATTACCAGGGAGGAGAGAGTGGTGATCGGAGCAGACCTGAAAGGACATGTTGGTGAAGGAAACTGAGGGGGATGAGGAAGTAATGGGTAGTTTTGGTGTCAAGGAAAGGAACCAGAAAGGCCAAATGTAGGTGGATTTTTCCAAGAGGGTGGAAATGGCTGTAGTCATCACCTGTTTCCAAAAGAGGGAGAAACATAGCGTGACCTACGAGAGTGGAGGAAGGAGTACACAGACTACATTCTGTGTAGAAGAGGAAACCTGAGGGAGATTGGAGACTGTAAGGTTGTGAGAGCGTGGCCAGACAGCATCGGATGGTTGTGTGTAGAATGACTGTTGTTGTGAAGAAGAGAAAAAGAAGAGTAAAATTACAAATGAAGACTAAATGGTAGGAGGAAGAAGAATGTTGTGAGGAGTTCAGAGAGGAAGACTCTTGGTGGTAAGAAAGAGCTTCCAGATGACTGAGCTACTGCAGCAACAGTAATTAGAGAGACAGGTAGGAAGGTACTTGATGTGTCATCTGGACAGAGAATGGATGACAAGGAAACCTGGTGGTGGAATAATGACGTGCAGGAAGATATCCAGAGAAAGAGAAGACAGTGAGTATGACAGTGAGAGGACGAAGAGAGGAGACAGAAGGAGATGGGATGTAGAGGAAAGAGAGTGGTGGCAAAGGCAAAGCAGAAGGCATACGATGGATTGTGTTTTTATTAATCACTTTAAGTGGATGATCAGGATTGTTTTTCTATGCTTTAAAGAATTGTTTCTGGCTTCTTTGTGTTTGGGATGATAAACCTGTCAGTATTTAAAAGAAGCCATATTTTTGTTAGAGCTGTCATCTGAAAATGAAACAACAAACAGAAACTGTAGGAAGACAGACAAAAGCATTACTATTGTTGTGCGAGCATGCAAGTTTATTTTTCTTTCTATTGACGGGAGTAAAATGAATGAATTTTAAAGGTGACTACTGCGCGAACAGCTTCAGTTCTGGTGCGTGTCAGCAAAGCATGACTCACACGGAAGCTGTCTAGGAATCGTTTTGTCATAAACTGCTGCAAACAGCTTTATGACTCTTCAAGAGTCTTTCAAGGGTTTATCTTAACATAAAGGAATGCATCTCCTGGAAAAAGGAAAGGAAATATTGAAGCAGTGAATGAGTTGTGTGCCCTAATTCAACCTTCTCTAAATGAGAGCTCAAATTTTCCTTTAAGGATTTACAATCAGCGTTTCATACAGCACATTGCCTAAAACCTGTGCAACATACAGATGATATATTCTTAACAAACATCCAAATTGTCCTTGTGCAGCTGACCCAGTGGAGGCAGTTTGAAGAAGACCAGAACAACCAAAGTCAGATGGCCAAGTACTTCAGCAGTCCCAGTAAGAGCCAGGCGTCCGTGTACAGCCAGGATGAGATCTACTACCTGCTGGGAGAGAATAGCTCCATGAAAAAACTCCTGAGTGAGGTAATCCATTGCAGTCACTGGTAACATCTGCACTTTATTGGATTGTTTATATGTGGGAGCAGATAGATCTTGTTTATCGACTTGTTGACAGAATTAAAGCTGCCTTCAACTATTGTGAACGTGCTACGGCCACTGTTGATCACTTTGTTTAATGCTGGTGTTCTTTAAGATGCCCTGAGCAGTGATGACGGAGTGAAGTGTTGATTTTCATGTTTTTTACAAAGCCAATATATAACTTGTGATAATACCTGTTGGTTTGTGGATGGTTGTCATCACTGCTTTGTTTTATGGGCAGTAAATGACCATTTTTAGGCAAAAGGATGGCACCAAAGAGTGATACTTGAACCTGATTTCACTGTAACTGTAGTAAAAACTAGCCAATAACATTCCAATGATTTATGGATGAAACTTTAGGGTTAGATCAGCTGATTGAACGATCAACTACCGTACTTTCCGCCGCACCGGCCGCACCACCGTATAAGTCACATCAGTGTCTAATAAAGTGGAAAAAACATAAATAAGCCGCATTGCTGTATAAGTTGCATCTATTATGCATCACCGCTGATGCGTTGCATTTGTTATGCGTCATCGATGACCACCTGGAAATGTGGGCCAGTGTTGTGCCAAAAATCGATTGGCTGCCAAATGGCGGCCGCAGGAGCATGCACGGGAGAATTTTAACAAGACTTTAACATGATTAACACTTAAAAACAATTATTTGTTTGCTCAAAATTATAGCGAAGGTGTGTCTCAATCTAACTTTATCTTAATAAATGCACTTTGACGGTCAAATCAGCTGCATTTCAAAAATCGCTTTGCAGCTGTGGGAGCGACAGAGGGAGGACTCGCTGTGCATTTCTTTGAAATTTAACAAAATAACCACTTAAAAACAATTATTTGTTTGCTCAACATTATAGTAAAGGTGTGTCTCAGTTGAACTTTTCCTTAATAAATGCACTTTACTGGTCAAATCAGCTGCATTTCGCCTCGGTGGCGCAGCAAAATGCAGCTGATTTGACGTTTGCTCCAGGAGTTCTGGTGTGAAATGAAAGTGACTTGTATGGCAAGCCAAGTGTCTCATTAATAGTCACTTTTACCTATTAATGAGACTCTTGGCTTGCCATACTACTCAAGCGCCCTCTAGTGGTTGAAAATGGTAGTGCTCAATATTTTCCATGTCAAAATGAATGAAATCGTCAGCTCTCAGCTAAAAATTGGGTTATAAATATAAATATGGGGGGAAAAACAAATACGTTGCTTCGCTGTATAAGTCACAGGGCATGCTAATTTATGCAAAAAGGTGCGACTTATACGGCGAAAAGTACGATGTTGATTCTGCCCTTTTTAATATAAAATGTATTGTTCACACCTGAGAATACTAAACCAGTTAGAAGGGAAGCAAATCTGTGATGTTGTTATCAAAGATATGCTTTAAAAATAGACACAAGGCTGGAATCCCTAAGTTGAAGCCACATAGGATGCATGTCCGCCCCAGAGCCTTATATATTTTTTTCTTTAAATAGAAACTGTTAGGGATAACATTTTGGTTAAAACTACAATCTTGATGACTTCAATAACCCATAAAACTGGTAAAAATGTGTACAGATCCACACAAGGCTAAAACAAAAGCTAAATCACAAGCAATCGTATTTTATTTTTTGTCATTTTATCACGGTAGTTTTTAACATGTAAGTATAAATACAAAATAAATAATAGAAATAGCTTACAGATCTAACAAAGTACTATTTGTCTGATTTACCAACCAAACCGGTTTTGTTTGAATGCTTTCTCGTTTTAACACGAGTTAAGTGTAAAATATTTGAAAATATCGTGGCACTTTTTTTCCGTTTTGCAGCTGTGCACGAAACTCAGTAAATTTAAAATTAAGCATCTTGCTTAAAGGTTTAATCAAACAGACACGGAGCATCCAATAAAAAGATCTGAGATAATTAAAGCTTTAACTGTCCATCCATCCATTAGCTTTAATTATTTCTACTAAACTTTACACAGACTGCTTTTCTCATGCTCCAGCGTATAAAACATAAATGAACTGTGATATCTGTGTGTTTGTGTTTGTTTACACTGTTTTCCTCTCACTTTTTTCAGAAGAATGCTGTGATTGACAGTCTTCAGGAGCAGGTGAACAATGCCAAGGACAAACTCCTGAGACTCATGACAGCGAGCCAGCCCCTGGAGGACCGGGACATGGATTCCTCACCCACTCTGCTCAACTCCTCTTCCACCAAGACCACTGAACTTGAGTCTGAAAGCCCCTCTTCTTCCTATTCGTCTCAGAGAGAAACTGCATCCAGGCTTTCGGCCCATCTTCTGTCGCATAACCTCACTCTTCCTCCTGTTTTATCAACTATGGTTACATCATCCTCTAATTCCTCCTCTGCTCAGAAACCAACCATCCCTATTCCTGATTCAGCCACGGCTGCAGAGGAAATTCTCATGAATGAAACCAAGAGAGATGTCTCAGTTTCTGGTCGTGCAGACAGAGGCCCAGCTCCGTCCAGAGTGGACGGGGATCTCAAGCGTCCAATGTCTCTCTCGTTTCCTGGTAGGACAGCAGAGGACACGGTTCACTTCGTCACTTCTCTCCAAAACCGTAGACGACTGAACTCGGCCCAAATGGAAACATTTCTTAAAAATAGCGACCTAACTTTGCAGGTGGGACCAAATGCTAAATTGGCTGGTTTTGTCAGCAGCGAACAGCTGCAGGAGATCCTCCAGGAGCTGAGCAGTCTCTCCGAAACCACCCTACGATCTCCGAGCCAGGCACCATCACAGCTAAAAGTGACCCCTCTGTCACCCTGCTCCCCTCATCCCCCCAAACCCTTTGAATACCCCAGCATATCCCCCTACGCAATGAGAAAACGTCGGCCACCATTTTACGCCTCCAGAAGAGGTTTGCCCCCTTCCTGCTTCTCCACAGGCTCAGAGGTCCCAAACTGCAGAAAGACACATTACCAAAACCCAGGGAGCAGTACTGTGAATCAAACACCATTGCACTTTCACGATGCAAATCATGAGGTAGAAGAAGAAAATAAGGAAACAGAAGGAGCTGAAGACGAACAGGAAGCAACTGAAATATGTCAAAGATGCATTTCCAGGTCTCAGAAATGCTCAGGGTGGCATTGTGCTGGGCCTGAGGTGGAGGGGGGTGGCGACGGCAAGCAGCGCAGTCACCACATTCGGGACTCGAGTGGTTATTGGGACTCTGACTCTAGCAGCTCGATGGATTATTGCTACTATCACCATCCTTACTGTGACTCGTGTTTGCATCGAGGCTCACTGCTGTGCTCAGGCAGCTCTTCAGACTCATCCGACAGTGAATATGATGACGTCACAGACCTCTACCCCTCCTCACGTCCCGTTGTCTTTAAAGATGACATCAAACCCACTTTAGTATGATGATGAAACATTTACTGGATTATAATGCTGTGCTGTATTTTACATTTCTACCACTTGAATTGACATTTGGCCTGCAAAGGCAAAGATTCAGATTTTATATTGCGCAATGGTTTGGACTGCTGGTTTCAACAAGAAAATGTTTTTTGTATGAAGAGTTGACTGATTTCCTTGAATCTTCCATTATGGGACTGAGTTTATATTATTATTATTATTATTATTATTGTTGTTGTTGTTGTTGTTGTTGTAGCACAAAGATAAACATTATTTTTTTTTATATTGTCAACTTTAAGCAATTTTTCAAAACGGGTAGAGGCAACAAACTCACAGCTGGTGCATTCTGCATTCTAATGTGCAAAAGGTATGTGTATTTAATACTTATTTGTGCATGTTTGGTAATTAATACTTTACTTTATGGGTGCTGCTGAGCCGATACGCCTGGTCAAAACCAGGTCTTTGACAGATTATTCCAAACACAAAGTGGATCTATAATGTGAGGTCAGAACTTAAAGCCAGTCAGTGTTATAGACAGAGACAGGCAGAGAAAAGGCCCAAAAAGTCTAACAAAAGAATAAATGTGATAGGTAAGTACCAGGTATGTACTTTGTATGTACAGAGTATGTACGTACATTTGTATACTCTTATACCTATTAAGTCTTAGGCTGTATAATGTATGACTACCAGTTTTTCCTGTTCTGAAGCATCAGGTTTTGCACTTTGACCCTTGTTGTTTTATTGTTTTGCTGACAGATGTCATGGCAGAGAATGATATATATATAAACATCAACTCAACAGGAAAATATTTCCTATAATTTCCTCATAAACATCTTTTCAATCAGAAGTCATCCCCTGCCAACCACTAAAAGGGCACGTTGAAGGTACATTCACAAAGGCCTTTGTTTTCAAACCTGATGACTCACCAATCTTTTATATACAGATTAAGTAAAAAATATTCAATTGAACTTTGTATTATCCTACAGACAGAAATTCTTCTTATATTTCTATTAAAAGTCCAGTTACCTTTCCATCCTTAAATTCATATTCAGCTCATAAAGCTGATAGAAACATTAAGAACTGCAGACAAAAGTTCACCTGAGGCTTTTTTCCCAGTCTGTGATCCAGCTGTAAACATAAACTCTGTGAGAAAAACATGTTTCTTGTCATGTTTGTGGATTACTGTGCTGTAAATTTGCCATTTCTGCTGTCACTTTTGTTAAACCACACCTGAAACTTGAATCTAAGTGAAAAAGATGTATAAACATTGACAAACGCACGGTGGCTCCTCCCTTATACACAGTTTTCTTATGTATTTGTTTATTAATGGAACAGTTTTTAATGTAAGTCATCATATGTATTAGCTTAGATTTTAAAGTTGTTACCAGGATGATAAACTTAGAAGTTTTACTGATCAAATGAATCGAGGAACAAGTGCAATAGTTCATTCTTTTTACACATGTCGCCATCTACTGGCTGTAAGGAAGAACCATACAGGAAGTAGTTTGGTTTTATTTTACATTTAACATGAAGTATAAGGCATTATGTGCTAAAAGTACAAAAATTGCATTTGTTTTCTTTGTGGCAAAATTCACAAAATTAGAATTTATACTCGATATTGTTTGCTGTAACTTCACTTATTACAAGAACAATTTTGAAGACAGATTATTTCATTTTTGCTTTTTTTCTGCAACAGAAAGGCTCTTCTTGTTCTTTCATTCACATTTATCCTCATCTGTCTGTGTGATTTTCCTTTTATGCTTTCAGGAACATGTACTTTTGTTGGGGGAGGTGTTGCTGTTAAAAACATTATTTCTATCCTTCTGGCTGTTTTTCAAACATTGCTGAGTTCTGTTCTGCATGTGAACCATTCAAGGACACCCTCAGAGAAATTCCTTTTAATGTGTAGCACAACAAAGTATAAATAGATCACTGTGAAGCAGGGAAGACTTTGTGTTACGGTAAGTGACTTACCTCCTGCATGAGATGAGTACTGCAGAGGCACTCAGCAATACAAAAGTGCTTTCAGTAACTTACTATTGACAGTGTTTATTTTTTATAATCAGCATAATCTACAGTAATAATAGCAAACAGTACATTCTTTTCATTTTTAAGTTTTTACGCTTCAAGTTATAATTAAAATATGTAACACTTGCAGGTCCTGAAAGTTGGTAAATACAGTACAAACCCTAAAAGTTCCTTCTCCGACCCTACAGGCCTCACCTTATTATTACCGTTAGATAAAGACTGAACAAAATCGAGTTGTTTGGCACCTTTAGAAAAAAAAAGCTTTTAAGCACAGTACTGGGGGGTGTGATGACTTTGGTTTGGTTTGCAGCCACAGAACCTGCATGGGCACTTTGCAGCCGTTGAGTCCAATATGAACTTAAGAGTCA